GTGGTTAAAAAATTACGCAACTTTTTGGAACACCCTGTATGATTTTTTAAAATATTTCAAAATATGTAAAAAAAAACAAATAAATTATGCTTGTCCAAGCGTTTTCCCGAAAGACTAACCATTTTTAAATAACAAATATTGTAATATTTGAGGGGCGTTTTCACCCTCCTGGAATTTGAGATTCGAGAAACCGCTCCTTAACCTCTACACCCCACAGTCAATCCGTTTACCAAAAATCAGCTTTAAACGTCAAGCAGTTTAAGCAGAATCGTGATTACTCAATGGTCATATTTTATGAAACACCCTGTATAAATTTACAAAAAATCTTAAAATATGTAAAACAACAAAATAAAATATACGTGTTTAAGAGTTTTTTCCGAAAAACTCACCGGTTTTTAAATAAAAAATATTTTAATATTTGAGGGATAGTTTCACCCCCTTAGAATTCGAGTTTCGAAAAATCCCTTTCTATCGAACCTCTACACCCTAAAGTCAATCTGTTTTCCAAAAATCAGCTTTTTACGTCAAGCGCTTTAAGCAGGATCGTGATTAATCAATGACCAGATTTTTCAAAACACTATGTATACATTTTTAAAAAATCTTAAAATATGTAAAAAAACAAAATAAAATATACGTGTTTAAGCGTTTTTTCGGAAACTTGACCGTTTTTTAAATAAAAAAATATTGTAATATTTGAGGGGTGGTTTCACCTTCTTGGAACTGGAATTTCGAAAAATCCCTTCTTATGGAACCTCTACACCCTAGAATCAACCTGTATGCCAAAATTGAGCTTCTTACGTTGAGTGGTTTGAGCAGGATCGTGATTAATCAGTATGTCAGTCACCTAAGAATTTTATATATTAATATAGATTTTCTTGCAGTGGCGAAATACACATATAAGATTTTTTTGGAGAGATGAATCCGCCACATCGGTATACACATTTTTTTAAAACACTTTACTTTTACCGAGTATGTTCAGCATCAGCAGATGATTAAAACTAAATATCTACAAATTCAGCGTTTTTATAGACGCTCGGTTGGTATCGACTAAATGTGAAAAAATTCGCCTTACTATTCTTTAATTGCTATTCTTGAACTACTAATTTCATATCTACTGTTGGTAAGTAAGTGAAAAATTAGATAGTCTAAATAAGTAAAACACAGTGGAAAGATTTTTTTTTCAAAAAAATCCCTCTTACCGCAATCCAAATATAATTACTAAACCTACAAAAGATCCATCCCGAAGCAACCAGGAAAGAATTTCCTCATTACTCCCTTGTCCCTCTCTAGGGCTAATTACATCACGGACAAGGACAGAGAGCGGGCACTAACTGCATCAGCCTGCATACTTTATCAACCCTTTTCCACTGGCAGTAGCAGCGTCGCTCTCTAATATGATTTGTTCTGTGAACGGTGACTTGGTAGGAATCCACGGCGGTCTTTGGCTTTCGCTCCGAATTTTATCTTAATAAGATCAAGAGACGCGCGGCTTTGATGTAATTCCGGGCGATAACCGGCATGGCGGCTGGCTTGCCGGATTTTAGAAATTTCCAGACCAAAAATTAGTGTCGTTTTAGTCGGCGGAGTCGCGGAGAAGGAGGGTTGGATGAAAGAAAAGGGTTGATGCGGGTCTAAATAAATGAGTTCGTAAAGTTCTTGACTTATATTGATAAATTAATATATATATATATATATATATATATATATATATATATATATATATATATATATATATATATATATATATATATATATATATATATATATATATATATATATATATATATATATATATATATATATATAAAATGAACAAAATTCTTACAGCTTTAGTGTATATTAATAAATAATATTTTCTTGCCTTTAGCTGTGTATTTTTTCTAATTTCGAAAAAATCGAAAGTAGAGAAAAATTAAAAAATAAAAAGTAAAAAGAAAATTGTTTTGCTTGTCGTAAAGGGGGAACCAAGCTCCACTCCCACAACCGGTTTCTGGGCCTACCCTTCATCAGGTGGGCTGTCCAGGGGCTGGTTCTCACCGATACGGCAAGCAAAACTTCTTCTATCTACAGACGATCTCGTAAAGTGTCGGTGAGATATTAGTGCATCTCCCGTCAAAAGATGGTAAAGAGCGTTTTTCGGCCCCGCTCAAATATATGAAATGAACAAAATTCTTACAGCTTTAGTGTATATTAATAAATAATATTTTCTTGCCTTTAGCTGTGTATTTTTTCTAATTTCGAAAAATCGAAAGTAGAGAAAAAATTAAAAAAAAATAAAAAGTAAAAAGAAAATTGTTTTGCTTGTCGTAAAGGGGGGAACCAAGCTCCACTCCCACAACCGGTTTCTGGGCCATCTCTTACCATCTTTTGACGGGAGATGCACTAATATCTCACCGACACTTTACGACATCGTCTGTAGATATAGAAGAAGTTTTGCTTGCCGTATCGGTGAGAACCAGCCCCTGGACACCCCACCTGATGAAGGGTAGGCCCAGAAACCGGTTGTGGGAGTGGGCTTGGTTCCCCCTTTACGACAAGCAAAACAATTTCCCTCTTTACTTTTTATTTTTTTTAATTTTTCTCTACTTTCGATTTTCGAAATTAGAAAAATACACAGCCAAATATTTATAATGCTAAAATATATATATATATATATATATATATATATATATATATATATATATATATATATATATATATATATATATATATATATATATATATATATATATATATATATATATATATATATATATATATATATATATATATATATATATATTCTATATCGAATGGTTTCATTCGAATAAAATCATTCATTCATTTGTATACTAAAGCATATGTGACAACCTCGCCGTGCGACTAAATGGTTATCGTTAAGCCACGACTATCGAATGCTTTTGATAAATGAAATTTAGTATTCGTTTGATTTTTGTCTGCGTCAGTGCATTATTAGTTCTTCCAAATTTTTATAACTTGCCTTCTAAATACTGTGCTATTTTTGCGTTTATTAAAATATTTAAAATACTATAGTAGTAGTGTTTTTTTTAATTGACGATTGTGTACGTGTGCAGGTGGTCAAAATTTTTCCGAAAGTTTCTGTGATTTTCCGATCTTTCAATTATTTAATTTTATACGGTATATGGTCTATTGATTGATTAAAGTTTTACACGTGCCAATTTAAAAAAAAGTTAACGATATTTGTATTTTGTTTATGCTAATTCTCTTACATGTAGATTTTTGCGGAGAAATATTTCATTTATTTTTTAAAGTAAATGCCAGTAAAAGCAAATATTATTTTTAAATACTAATACAAAGTAATACACATATATAATTTTGATTTCTAATTTTTTATTTATATTTTTCTTCTATTACACTGCATGCTTAGAAAATTAATAAATGTTTATATTTTATGGTTTTAAAATTTGTTGTTAATATAGCGAATTAGTTCTGTAATTATTATTATTTAATAAACCAACGTTGCCAAAAAATTTAGAGACTATATTATTTTTAAATAGGATCTAATATAAATAATTTTGACTTCTAATTTGTTGTTTATATTTTGCTACTACTTAAAAAAATGTTTATATTAAATGATTTTAAATTTTGGTGTTAATAGGTATAACAAATTATTACTGTTATTATTATTTATTAAACCAGTTTCGCTTAAACACATTAAAAATAATTTTCCTATATCCAAAATAAAAAGTATTATTGCAGTGTAACAACAGAATATTAATAAAAAAAAACTATAATACCAAAGAATAATATTCTTTGCTAATACCAACTAATACGAACATACGGCAACAGCGCCGTTCATAATGTATTTTCTGTGTAAATACTAGCACCTCAATAAAAAAAATAATGTGTCCTTATCTTTATATGACTCTGCAAAAAATCAAAGATGCCGGCTTCTGTCATAGCATTGCCACCGACCGCTGTCGGGTTTCTCGGAAAGAAACCTACGTTGCCGGGCGACAACTAAAATCCAGTTTATATTTTATTATAATCGATCTTGACGAATAAATGAATTTTACAAATGAATGGTTTTTGCTGCCGAATTAATATATTTCAAGGCAGATGACGCATCCATTCGATATTTTTATTCGATTAGTTTTCAACGAATGTTTTCTTACTAGCTATCGAATTATTCGAATGAATTGCAACTATCGAATGTTTCGATAGTATTCATTCGATAGTTCCCACTACTAGTAATTGCCCTTTAAAGCCTAAAACTCCAATATTCTCTCTATTTTAATTACTCAACATTCTTTCAACTTCCAAACCCTTCTTCAGGGCAAAGAAGGTATTAGAAAACTTTCTAAGAAACTCTGGCAATAGTTACACAGCACAGGAAAGGCATGCAAGACATCGATGACAACAATGTCCCTCTAAGTAGACGTAAACATGGATATTAATCACCCACGAACCAAAGAGCCAAAGTATTTACGCCCTAATGTCTTTTCAAATATTGACTTTGAAGGAAATCCCTGTACAAAAACGATTGTTCTTGTTTATACACAGTAAAGAAATCTAAAAAAGGGTTTAAGAAAGGCTAGATGGGAGTTTAACGGTGTTTTGTTTATGATTTTACGAATTTTTACGCTAGGAGGTCTTTAAAATGTCGTTAAGGACTAGAATGGACAGAAAATACGCTTTGATTGTTCTACTATGCGACAATAAATTTAAAATAGTTTGATAGTTTGTTGTTGTTTGGTTTTAATTAGAAAAGTTCGGTTCTTTATTAAAGGAAAATCTTTAAAGATTCCTTTTGTAATTGTAAAGGCATAAACAAATTAGAATTATAATTTTATTAGAATTAAAGAGGTATTTTTCGTAATATTTACATTTGTCAATAAGTATTACACAGAAATCTACATCACATTGTATTAAATATTCACAATAAAATGATCACATTAGGTAAAATTACAGGTATATCCTAGAACTATTTACAGTTTAAATTGTTTTGTTCTTTATTTGATGTTATACAAAAAACTTACCTCTCTTTCTTACAGCCTGTCTTGTTTCTGGCTCCTGCTCAGATTCACTACTGCTGCTTATGATGTAGAGAGGAGTCTGGAAATAAAAAACATCATCATTAGAAAATGCACCTTTAAAATCTTCTCAGATTGTACAAAAGCGTAGAGCTGCCATACCAACGTTAAAAAATACTTTTAGCAAAATATACAGTTTTTCTGTAAATTCTAAATTTATACTATTTCTGTAAATTTACAGATTTTCTGTAAATTTACACTTTTTCTGTAAATTTATACTTTTTCTGTAAATTACATGCAAAATATATTATACCGCAAGGCGACGCGACGTCTAGGCATTACAGAAAATCTGTAAATTTACAGAAAAAGTGTAAATTTACAGAAAAAGTGAAAATTTACAAAAAAATTGCAAATTTACAGAAAAGCTGTAAATTTACAGAAAATTGCAAATTTACAGAAAAAGTGCAAACTTAGAGAAAAGGTGTAAATTTACAAAAAAATTTCAAATTTACAGAAAAGTGTAAATTTGCAGAAAAAGTATAAATTTACAGAAAAAGTGAAAATTTACAAAAAAAATGCAAATTTACAGAAAAGCTGTAAAATTACAGAAAATTGCAAATTTACAGAAAAAGTGCAAACTTAGAGAAAAGGTGTAAATTTACAAAAAAATTTCAAATTTACAGAAAAAGTGTAAATTTACAGAAAAAGTGAAAATTTACAAAAAAATTGCAAATTTACAGAAAAGCTGTAAATTTACAGAAAATTGCAAATTTACAGAAAAAGTGCAAACTTAGAGAAAAGGTGTAAATTTACAAAAAAATTTCAAATTTACAGAAAAAGTGTAAATTTGCAGAAAAAGTATAAATTTACAGAAAAAGTGAAAATTTACAAAAAAAATGCAAATTTACAGAAAAGCTGTAAAATTACAGAAAATTGCAAATTTACAGAAAAAGTGCAAACTTAGAGAAAAGGTGTAAATTTACAAAAAAATTTCAAATTTACAGAAAAAGTGTAAATTTACAGAAAAAGTATAAATTTAGAGAAAAAGTGAATATTTACAAAAAAATTGCAAATTTACAGAAAAGCTGTAAATTTACAGAAAATTGCAAATTTACAGAGAAAGTGCAAACTTAGAGAAAAGGTGTAAATTTACAAAAAAAAATCAAATTTACAGAAAAAGTGTAAATTTACAGAAAAAGTATAAATTTACAGAAAAAGTGTAAATTTACAGAAAAAGTGTAAACTTACAGAAAATCTATAAATTTACAGAAAAAATTAAAATTTACAAAAAAATTGAAAACTTACAGAAAATCTGTAAATTTACAGAAAAGCTGTAAATTTACAGAAAAGTATAAACTTACAGAAAGAGTGTAAATTTTGCTAAAAATATATTTCAATGTTGCGATGGCAGCTCTACGCTTTCGTGGATCTGTTATACAATATAAAAATAAACCTATAGATATCCGCTCTTTTAAGTTTTATAGCATTCGAAAAACCAACGCCTTCACTCTCTAAAAAAACCGGAGAGCAGAAATCTCATTTAGGCTCTTACAAGACGAGGCCCTTTGTGGAGGTCAAATAAAGATCCCAAAAGGTGATTCCTATTATACTTAGGAGCGGTCTTTGTGCACGTGACCTGAAACAAGAAAAAACGTTGGCGGTATTAAGACTTCTCGGCACGTGCCCAGATTCAGTTACCTGGACTTATTGGCAGAGGGGAAGTGATGAAGAGATAGAGGGGGGAGTTGGTATTTCACAGAAGGAATGAAAATCTGCCTTGAGAGATTCTAGTCTTGCGTGATTTGATCAAAAAAAAATTATAGAGTATATTAAAAATACTTCGAAACATCTTAAAACTGTTTATTTTAAGATTCTCAGTAATTTATAGCATCAGAAAAGAATATTAGTTGGTAAATTGTATGCCAAATAAAATCAATCTCATCAACCATTCGTGTCATAAGCTTTGGTACAACTAATACCGGAGATGAAGAACTAACCTCTGTAAAACCGTTTCAGATACTGGCTTTTGTCCAAGCCATGAGAAAGATGGCACATGTTTTTTGAAACACCCGGTATAACTAACTTGGTTTTACATTAAATCTCAAAACTTTTTTACAGTGAAAGAACAGTTTTGCAAGATTTATTTTTAAATTTTACGTGTTTAATGAGATTAATAACCCTAAATAATTCTGAATAAAAAAGACAGCTATAACAGCCAAAACAATATGCAAATTAAAATAAAAATGGTCCGTCGTGATCAAAGAAAACACCAAAACAACCGTCACTCCTATACAACGTTTGTCTTCCACACACACACACACACACACAAAAATCCGACCCAAAAAGGACCTCATGTGTTAAAATGCATTTTTTAATCATTCCTCCAGACACCGCAACAGTGAAACAAAATGGTCGGGAGAAAAATGCGAGAGAAAAACACGTCAGAGCTGTCCGGCAGTGACAGCTAAGTTGCCCCCTTTCCCTGGAAACTCCCCAACTCACACCACTGTCCTGTCTGGGCCCCGTCTTTGTGTCCGGTCTGGAAATATTTTTTAGGAAAAATAAAGGACAAGCGGGCAAAAGTTTTTCCTGCGGCTCTGGACAATGGCCGACAGCGTTTATTTGGACAGCGTACAGCTGGACGTTAGAGAAATATGTTTTTTTTGTTATGTATTTTGATTTTAAAAGTATATGTTGTGCATTGATAGCAAAATAAGAGAATAATTATTTATTTTTGTATGTTTTATTTGGACATATTATGGTAAAAATAGATTAAATAAATATAAATAATAAATAAATACCGCTTTATTGTACATTATCTCATTTCTTTCGAGGTTTAGAAAAAAAATATTAAATATAAAAATTATAGGGATGGTTAAGATACACATTCTAAAATTATTTTAGAGTATACAGGGTGCTTCAAAAAAGTGTGGCGAATATAACATATGTTTTTTTAAATGCAACACTATATTTTTATTTCATTTTTAGATTTTGCGTAAAATTTTATAACTTTTTTATATATAATGTTATATACCTAAAATGAATAGTTTTTGTAATATTTAAATTTGTTTAAACAAATGTTAGTTTGCAGTGTAATAAAAAATTGTCAGTGATGCCGTTGTTTCTGAAGTTGGACAACTAAAATTTGGTAGGAGAATTTTATAGAGATATAGAGGAAAATCTTTGTAAAGATATTTTAGTTAGATGCTACAGGGTTTTCAAAATATATTTAGGAATTTCAACTACTTACAATTAAGAAATTTCAATTTTTTTAAATGGTACACCCTATATATTATCATTTTTTCTGATAGATTTTACAAAATTCTTCAACTTTTATTAAGTATGACATATACCTATTTTTAATAGTTTGCGATTTATTCCAATTTTTTCTATTTCTACCCATATTTTTAATACAGTTACGCTATATCATTATGGATGCAATGACAAAAAATAATAATTATCAAAATTTCATGTCTGTTAAGTTAAGAACAAAATTTGAATTTTGTCGTATGGTGGTAATGGTAGAGGTAATAGTTACATATTTTCCTGAAATGAATTAGTCAATGTGACTGATATACACGAACAAGCCAAGAAAATCATATTTTTTGGTTCAGTACTATATATTATATAGTGCTTTGCTAAGTACTATAAGAATAGATGTAGATTATCTAGAAAACATCTTCAATGTGTAATGGGATGGTTTGGCGCCAGTAGTAATATGGGCTTTACGAAATGAATTATAATCAGTCAAACATTATAGTCAGTCACTATACCAATAGTCTTCAACAATTAAGTAATTTAGTATTACCCTAATTAGGCGCTATTCGCCCCAAAATCCCCGTGTCATTTTTCATAATATAGAAATACACCAAGAAATTCACGACTGCGATTTTAGTTTATTTGAGTAAAGTTAATCAATCTTAACTAATACTAACAATTGTAACTAATTATGAGGCTACTTGTTAAAGATAAGTAATAAATAGTTTGTTTTGTCATGGTAACTATGATTTTATAGCGTAATTGTATTAAAAATATGGGTAAAAATAGAAAAAATTGGAATAAATCGCAAACTATTAAAAATAGGTATATGACATACTTAATAAAAGTTGAAGAGTTTTGTAAAATCTATCAGAAAAAATGATAATATATGGAGTGTCAAATATAAAAAATTTGAGATTTTTTAATTTTAATTAGTTGAAATTCATAAATATATTTTGAACTATTAATTTTAGGTATATAACATTATATATAAAAAAGTTATGGAATTTTACGCAAAATCTAAAAATTAAATAAATCATGGGGTGTTGCATTTAAAAAAAACATATGTTATATTCGCCACACTTTTTTGAAGCACCCTGTATACTCTATAATAATTTTAAAATGTGTGTCTTAACCTTCTCTATAACTTTTGTATTTAAAACTTTTTTGTAAACCTCGAAACAAATGAGATAATGGACTTTATCGTTGACTCACCCTGTACAGAAAGCCAAAATAGCTTCATCGACAAAGCATTTACAAAACAAACAAAAGCACAAAAAATATACAAATAATAAAAAAAATCATACAATACAAATCATACAATTCAAAAAAATTTACGTCATTAAAATTACTACATTAATACATGGAACATTGCAGAACACAAAAAAAGGCGTATCAATAAAATTTTACAATAGGAAAATTGTAAATGGATATAATCCATGATATAATCATTTAAGAGTCATAAAATATTAAATACTAGACTTTTAACCAGTGTGTCAGATAATCAAAATTTTAAAATTCAAAATTGTTCATGATTACATCATCAACAAAAAAGTCGTTCACCGCATATAGGGCTCTCTCCAGTAAGTATGATTTCAGAGCTTTGCGAAATGCGGGAAAGAACGAAATGATATTCAAAGGTAGATGATTTTACATTTTTGGCATTGTACAATATTGAGTCTTTAACTAGTTCTGAGCTCGGGGTTGGCAGATAAAGATCGTGCTCCGCGTTCCTAAGGGAATAGCAGATATGTGCTTGCGGATTAAGCAAACGGATTCAAAAATGAATAAAGAAGGAAGAGTCAGTATTTTGAATTTTTTAAA